AAAAAAAAAAAAGATATTTCCATGCATGCAAAAATCAAAATATTTATTCTTACACTAGAGTACACATAGCAGAAAATCAGATAAGAGAAAATGTTAACCCTCTTATCAACAGGGTGCCTGAATGAAACATAATTGTATACCTAACCCTTAACTGTACCCCACAAAACCCTAATAAAAAATATTTTTAAAAAAAGAGAAAATGTTAAGATGGCAGGTAAGAATTCAGATCAGAGCAAGAAGAAAGGGGCCCTTGGAGTTCAATTGAAAATGTTATCCAAATATAGGAATGTCATGCTAAGGAACTCAATATTACATTTCTAGTAACTGTAGCCTATCAATTCACATACCAAGTCCTTTCCTAAAATAGATATCACTATTTTAAAAGTAACTGCTTTTTTTAAATCTCTTATGAAAATGGTAGCAGGGAGTGAATACATTTTTTAATTTGCTAACAATGTTAGCAGAGAGCGAATACATCTTTTCTCCTTTATGGAAAATAGATGTGGACTCTTAGCTCCATTGAACTGGAAGTCTGATAAAAGTGGAAGATGATGAGCTGTGTAACCAGGCAATATTGCTAATGGTAAAATGTTCATTGATTGCTAAACTACTTCTGGACAGGGGATGCTATACATGAACCCTCTTGTCTTCATGGGAAGTCCTAGATTTGGGTTTCCCTGAGTACAGTGCCCTATTGAGCACAGCCCTGTGGACTTGTCTGGATGCCATGTCCATTGGACAATTGTAAGAGATCCTGGTTTCTTTCTAAATGAATCTCCCACACCCACACATGTGGTTTCATTCTTTCACATCTCTGTTGCCTTTGGGAGCATCAAAGAATGGTCCCCAGATTGCTGTGTCCAGTGCTATGAGGTCCCACAGACTCCCTTGCTAGCAGGCTACATTTCCTGTTTTTCTGTGTTTTTCTGAGGGAAACAGTTTCAAGTCTGGCCTAGTAAGGTGTGAATATAAAATTTTCCATTGTGTCTATGCCTGCCAAGAGATGCGGTGCAGCTATAAAGTATTTCCAGGAGAGGAAAAGTTCAATGACACTGTTATTGTTGTAAAGATATAAAAGAACAGGCTAATATGGAAATAAAATAAATGATCTCTGACTGAATTGTTTGGTATTTAACATTAAGAGTTTTTATTCCATAAATTTGTATAGAAAGAACTAAAACTTTACACAGTACTTAGTAAAGCAGTGGAAAATAAGGTGTTTTTGTGTCTTTTTATTTGACTTGGGAATCAAATTTGCCACTTTTAGATCTTTCTGTATGCCATATACAATCTTGTATATGGCATACAGAAAGATCTAAAAGTGGCAAAGGCAGTATCAGGAATAGTCTAGGGTTGATAACAAATAGTCTAGGGTTGACACAAAAGTTTAAATGATTTAATTTTATTTACAAAGTTAGCAAGTAGAGAAAAGCTTAAAATAGTATAAAGTCTTCTTGCTCCATAGGCTCCGATCAATAGGTAATGTTGTAACTCTAGAAAGTGCAATATTCAAAATTGTTTATATATATGTATACAACATATACACACACATCCACGTTGTATATGAAGGAAACTGTAAGAAGAACTGAAATTAGAAATGGCTAAAAGAGATTGTTTGGTGAACAGAACAGTGAGTGAGGAATGTGACCTGCAATTGTTATTTGCATTATTATAATGAAAGTTAAGTAATTTTTATGTGCATCTTTACGTTTATTGAAATATTATAAATACTAATGCTTGGTAAATGATTAAATAACTACATTGTATAATGGAATACTTATTATAGCTTCAATTAGGTAAATCAAAACAGATGTCCATCTAAGGGACAGAATAAAATAGATAACAACTGCTAAAATAATACATGAAACTATGTTAATAGCAGGAAGAAATGTCATAAACATAATCATAATTTGATAATCTGTATGTATAAATTAACTTATAAATTCAACAATCCTTTAATAATTGATCTCTTAATTTGAATTTGATATATATTTTTATATGGTGTTCCTTATTTATGTTTTTCCAACAGTAAAAAAATATTATATTTATGGCAAGTATGTAACTTAAAAATTTAACAATTAAATGTGAGTATGCATGTAAAATAATATAGCTTTGTAGGCACTAGTATATTTCTATACATAGATATATAAAAAGTAGCCAAGTAATAACTTACAAGATGTTGATTGCCATGTTTGAGCTGGGTCTCCAAAATATTTTCCATTGTAGCAATTAACCTGAATTGTAGTAATAAAAAATTAATTTAGTTTGTCAGTGTGAATATGTCATACTGTAAGACATGTACTATTTCTTATACAATGCTATTTATTTTCATAAAAATTTACTGATTTGATTTCATTTAAAATTGAAACTTTAAGGTTATTTCAGTATGTTGTCAGATATTTTTGAAAAGACAATAAAAGAGATATAAAGAATGTTATCTCAATTAACAATAATAATATTAATAGTTACAATCAACAAAAAAAATGAAACTGGATGAAGAAATAAAACCCAACACATCAAAATATTCATAATTTAAAGTTAAAATTTCCCATTAATAGGCTAGTGTCTTCACATTTTATTTAAAAAGGAACTTCAAACATATGCTATTGACAAATTATACATAAAATGCACATAAATTTTTTTAAGGGAAAATGGATACAGAGTAAAATTTACACTATAGAAATAACTAGTGTCAACACCTACGTGTCTCTTGAATTTAATACAAATAAAGTAAAATCAATTTAGATATACAGGGAAACTGAAAGGAGCAAAAAAGTGATGAGAATCTTTGACCAAAGTAATTTAAGTAAAAATAGAACTGAATAGTATTATTAAAGGAGTTGCTGATAAATCTGACAAATATATACATAAACTTTTGCCCTGTAGAGAATATACTATTTGCCCAGTTATCACAGAATATTCATAAATATTTATCATACCTTGAGTTGTAAAAATATTCTGTACAATCCAAAAGCAAAATTATAAAATCCAACTGTTTTTAATAAACTAATAATTAGCAACAATAAGAAATTCAAGCATCATAAATGTAGACACACTCTCTTAAATAACAAATAAATTAATTTGTTTCAAATTGAAATTGTAGAGTCATTAGAAATTATCAATAAGAACATTTTACTTTAAGAACGATTCATTAAATTTTATGTGGAGACATTTTGAAATTAATGATAAACAATAAGGACATGGGATACAATCAAATTTTTACTAAATGACAGTTCATAGCCTTTTTTCCTCTTTGATTTAATAAAAAAGAAAACTTATCAATATAATTCATCATATAAATAAATCATACCACAGCATCACAACTATGGCATCATCTATCATAATGCCATAACAATTTGTGATATAATTTAACCTACTTTTTCAGTTAAAAGATTACAATTGTAAAAACATTTTTTTAAGTGATAAAAGATATGAAGCTGTCAACATCATATTAAATAGTTAACTTTGGAAATATCCATTGAACAGGAATAAAAGTGACAGATACATTTGTATAAAAACAAAAAGGGGAATTGGAAATGACTTAAAGTCTATTAAGAAAAGTAAAAGGCAAACTATAAACTGAAAACATTTACAACACATATGACAAAAAAATTTAATATCATTTATATCCGAATACTAGTTCCCCAAAAAAAACTGAAAGAAAGAGAAAAAGAATAACACAAGAACAATAACTTATTTTGCCCTCAACAGCAAGTGAAACATTAAAACAAAAGCAACACCAATACCATATTTCACCCTCTAAATGTCAAAGACAATGAAAGACTTGTTCAATGTTGGTGAGCCTCTCAAGAAGCAAACATTTCATACCTTGATACAAAAGGGTAATTTGGTAACTTTCATAGAAAAAAATGGTGATCTAAAAAATTGTAAAATACAAGTTAATCTCTGTTGACCCAATAAAGGTGTTTCCAGGAATTTATCAAACATAAATTATTAAAGACATATTTCAAGGATTTTGTTATTTACCAATAAGTGTGTTAACTTAGTGTCGTTTGCATTAGAGACCAACATAGCAATAGCTAGCAGAAAGTGATAAAGTCTTATAATAGAAACATATGCAACCACTAAAAACTACATAACAGTAAAATATTTAACATGGGAAAATGTGCATGATATACTGAGATATAAAAAATACAGTTTACCAAACTGTATTTCAAATGTTGACAATATATTTGTTAAATGCACATACATGTATATTACATATTATGAAACTATATATACAAATTATGATCAATAAGTTGTAAGATAATAGGTATTTTTAATTCCATGTTCACCAGTATTTTCTAATATTTATTGCAAGTATTTTCTAACTTAAGTTACCTGTAAAATTTTTGCAGTTAAAAATTCACATTAACAAAAGTAAAAACCCAAGACAAAGAAAAAATCTGGCAAAGTAATAATCTGTTTTGCATAAAGTGTAGTGCTTCTTAACACAGGAGCTATAATTTAGCTGTAATTAAATCATTTGACATTCTGAAATATTTCAATGAAACATTTACTTTAAACTAATTTTTTAGTCCTAGGGATAGAAATTTTAAAGTCAAATTTTTGAGACTTTGAAAAAGTTATTCCGTTAGGCATCAGAGCTTCTCTAGCTCACAGAAGCACTGGTTTTAATGTTATTCAAGTACTAGGTGTTAATCATTATAATGTATTTTGGTACTATAGTGATATAGAGAGCAGAGGCTTACCACAAATGTGTAGACTGTTGAATAGTGAAGATCTGGTACATGGAAATGGCATCTAGTTTCATTAAATTTTTCAACTGTAATATTTTCAGATGTGACGTTCAAATGGTATTCGCAAGAATTGGGGCCGTTAAGGTTGTCGGGAGGCTCACACTTGATAAGAATACTATTATCTGAGGTCGCGGAAGCATTCAAATTCTTGACCTTGCTTGGACCTATCACGATAAAGAGAGGTTTGTAATTTATTTGTTTGTTTTTTTAATGTATGTTTAGATTACTTGACAATGCATGTGTGCAGTACAAAGCGTTTTAAATCTTAGTTTGGGGATTGTGAAGGAGTAAGTTATGAAAGCACACTTATTAAAAAGCTATGTCAAAACACCAAAAATAAGTTACCTATTCATTCAGTAAGTATTAGCCTATTGGTTGTACATGAAGCCTTGAGAATTCATGAAATCCCTGAAGAATAATCCCGGTGTACAAGTAGAGAACAGAGAAAAAGGAAGTGGAATGGAAGGGGAGGAAAGGAAAAATAATGATGATTGGGAAACCACCAAGGCCTACCACATAACCCAGGCCCTCCTTTCCTGAGGTGCTTACACTATCCTGGTAAACACCTAGATGGACTCTTCAGGTGTGGCAGCAATTTGTCTTCCACTTCTGTGGTATCACAGAAACTCAGGAAAATAACAAGAGCATAGGGCTCCAGGCCTTGAACTTTTTGCACCAGAATCTAAATGACATTAAGAGTATTTCATGTTCAACCCTGAATAGGACAACATTTCTTTTTTTTCTTTTTTTTCTTTTTGAGTTGGAGTCTCACTCTGTCGCCCAGGCTGGAGTGCAGCGGCCACTCCCGGCCACCGCAGCCTCGACCCGCTGGGCTCCGGCGATCCTTCCGCCTCCGCCTTCCAAGTAGCTGGAACTACAGGCACGCGCTACCACGCCCGGCTGATTTTTTGATTTATTGTAGAGACAACATTTCTTCATGAGCCTGGAACCCATTAGGGTCTCTGGAGTCATAGATACTGCCTCGCACAGTGGCATTTCTTCTTCCCTGTCCTTGATGGAGGTTAATATCCACCTCAGATACAGCTTTGGGTCTGGAAAATATGGGAGCATCAGACATGTGGCAAGACATACATGTGAAAGATGGCAAGTGTGACATAAAATAAAATAGTGAGTAGTTCAGTGTAGCAAACAGAAGAAAATGCTAATGAAATATTACATTTTAATGAACTGTTTATCAGGTGAATAGAATAAGTCAATGCTTTGTGGGACGTGTTAGGTATCTGAATAAAGATAACATTTCTAGATAGTAAAGACAACAACAGACAATACATTTTTAATCTAAGTTGATAGGTACTTAATTGCCTGAAATCTTACAAATTGTACCAGTTAATATGCCCTCGTGTTTCATTCTTACAATTTTATCTTAGGAAGACAGAGAATCAGGATAACAGCTTTTAAATTATTTTGTTTAAAATTGTTATAAATACTAGATGTTAACAAATGTTCCAGGTCATTATGCTTCCCAAATGAAGCCCAAAGATAGGTGTATTGTAGGTTAAAAAGTTCATTTAAAGCATATGACTTACGATATGCTTTTGTTTGGAAACCACACGTCACAGCACTTCCATTACGTTTTATTTGTGCATTGTTGTAGGCATATAATGATACACTATAGTTTGTATAAGGTTTCAATATCTTCAAATCATGTTTTGCAGTGATGTTACTGAGTATGGAGCAGCTTTCTTTATCTAAAAATAAAAAGGAGTTAATTAGCAAATCATTAAATGTCAGGATTACCACATTTTAATTTGGTCTCTACATGTAAACACTACAAGCAGATGTCAGATTAGTGAGTGATTAAGAGATAAGTATGACTTTGATACTCAGAAGTATATCCAATTATCAACAGATTTATTGAACAACTTTAATTGTACCATAAAGTCTAATTCTCAAAAATTATGGTTTCATAGCATTAATTTGGTACATAAAATATTTAATAAGTTCAGACACATTGTATAAATGATCTCTCTTTATTTTCTAAGAAAACACAGCCCTCAGTGGATATTACAAAAGTCTTGAGTGATACCATAAAAGTCTTGAGTTGTAATGTTTATAGAACGATTATTATTATTATTATTATTATTATTATTATTATTATTATTTTTGGTGAATCTTTTCTGATACTTAACCTCCAAACTTTGAACATCAATATTAGCTACTGTTTTGGATTTTGGACACAGGATCTATTTGATCACCAATAATTAGGTCAACTGTACCATACTAATTTGAACAGTACAGTAATTTGTGGGGGCTGTAAGAATGAGAGAAAACATCACACTGGCAGCAGAATCTGTGTAGCTCATTGAAAGGTGAGTGAAACTGAGCAGGTGTAAGGGAGAAAAGGAAACATTACAAATGAAAGAAAGAATGTTTTGAGTTTAGGGACAAACCTGGTCAGGACAGTGGATACTATGAGAGGAAGGATCTCGTTAAGAGTCTTTTATCACAGACAGAAGAGTTAGCATGTATTAAGTGGAAAGAAAATCACTAGCTGCTGACTATTTTTGACTAGTCAAGTGACATCAAGAAAGATAGGTTAAAGGAAGATTTTAGTGACAGCATGTTTCTGGGTAGAAGTTACAGGGATAATAATAATACCAATGATAATGAAAAACACTCACTCACTCAAAGTGCCAAGTACTGTTTTAGGTGGTACACATGAAGTCATTAATTTAACCATCACCACAATCATAAGTTGACCTTGGTATTATCCAGTTTTGCAGATGAGAAAACTGAACCAACGTGAGAACAAGATATCTGTCTATGATCTCACAGGAAGTATAGAACAAGCCAGGATTGAACCCAGGCCTTGAGGTTCCAGCATCCTTGCTCTAGTTTTCACCACTTCATCTACTATCCAATGGGGGACAAGAGCCTGCAGTAGGGACAAGCTTGGTCTTTGTCATGTATACCTCACTTCTCTGGTGCAGTTGGGTGTGCCAGTGGATTCAAGGGAATAGTAAAGAAAAATCCTAACATATGCTTATGTCACTTATCCATAAAGTGGAGATTATAGTCATATCTCTACCTCACCATGAGATTCTAAATAGTAAATGAGATAAAGTGACTATTCTAGTCTCGCTAAAATGATCTATGTCTCAGAAATCCCCAAAGCCAACCAGCTTAGTTCTGTCCTGTCCCTGGTGAGAATCTCTTTGAGGGCCAGACATGTGTGAGTTCAAGAGAGGGGAGATCGGCACCCTCTGACTAGGGTTTCTGGCAGTTCCTTAGGAGTCTAGCTTCTAGGCCAGTGCCTGAATTCTTCTTACTGGGATAAAACCCAAGTGTAGATGCTGCTCTGAAGATCAACCTGGCTTCTGTTCAGTGACCTAATTTTGTAGGTTTATATGTGTAATCTCACCATTCTGTATCAAAACAAATTCCACTTAGGTAGATCTATGAAGTTTTTATCTTAATCAATGTGACAGAAGTCAAATTATTGATTTTATTTTTGAACAATACATTGTTCAAAAGATATTGATGCTTGGGAGATTTTTATAAAGCAGTAATTAATCAAAGGTTTCAGTGCTTACAAAGGTGGATTGGAATGTTCTAATATTTGGTTGGAAGGCCAAAATACTATATATGGATATTCTTTCTTCCTCCATGTTTTTAAGCAATTTTTCTGAAGACTCTGACATCAAAGCACAAGTTATAAGAGACAAATTAAGAATGTATTTGAGCCGGGTTCGGTGGCTCAGCCTGTAATCCCGCGCCTTTGGGAGGCTGAGGTGAGTGAATTGCCTGAGCCCGCGGGTTCGAGACCCACCTGGGCAGCGAGACCTCATCTCTATGGTAAATCAAAAAATCAGACGGGCGTGGTAGTGCATGCCTGTAATTCTGGCTACTTGGAAGACTGAGGCGGAGGGATCGCTGGAACCCAGCAGGTCGAGGCTGCAGTGGCCGGGAGCAGCCACTGCATTCCAGTCTGGGCGACAGAGTGAGACTCCAACTCAAAAAAAAAAAAAAGAATGTATTTGACTAGATGCTTGAATTGTTTTTTTCCTCAGGACAAGAGGGACATGTGTTTATGTCATGTGTGTTGCACTGGAAATCCCTGGGAGGACATTGGTTTCTCTACTTGTCACCTCTCTGTTTTGTAGAAAGTACCTCAGGAAATTCATTAGCAATTTCATGATTTAGACTTCTCTAAAGTATCCTCTTGAATATTATTTCAGATAGTGTAAACCTGTTGATCCCCAAAGGATTTTTGTGCTAAAAAAAGTAAGAGTTTTCCCCTAAAAAAATAAAAAATAAAGCATTACACAAGATAATTTTTAGCAAGGTCATTGTAGCCTTGGAAGGAGCATATTATTTTAGTAACTTTTGAAAAAAGATTCCTTTGAGTACAATAAAGTACAGATCTCTTCCAATTATGGAGAAGCTTCAATGTCACTTGGCATCACTAAGTTAATGACAGAAAACTGCAGTTCTTTGAGATATCATGCTAAAAATGTGAAAAACACAGAAGTAGAAAGACTACAATTCAAGTTGTTGAACTTGAACATTTGTCATATGTTTCGTTAAACTGTTTCATCACATGAACTATGAATTAAAGTATGCACCTCTCCTCTCAGAGTAGCTATTAAAATATTTAATAAAAATCTTTAAATAAAGCATTACAAAAGGACCCTGATAAGCTGCAAAAACTAAATAAATATCAATAACGTTTTCTCCTTTTTTAACACTTAGCTTTCAGAAATACTAAAATAATTAAGATAAAAATAAAATAAAAATTAATATCTGATTTAAAAGTGTATCAACTGCAAATATCATAGACTTGCTTCCTGTAAATTTTGTTTTCCTTTTTTGAGGTGGAGTCTCACTCTTGTTGCCCAGACTGAAGTGTAGTGCATTCTCACAGCCACCGCAGCCTCAACCTGCTGGACTTAGGCAATCCTTCTGCCTCAACCTTCCAAGCAGCTGTAACTACAGATGCACATCACCACGCCCAGTTTGTGTATATGATTTATTTTAGAGATGAGGTCTCACCGAGTTGCCCAGGCTGGTCTCAAACACTTGGGCTCGGACAATCCTCTCACCTTAGCCTCCCAAAGTGCTGGGATTACAGGCTGAGCCTTCATGTCTGACGCTATTCATTTTTAATAATGATTTTATTTGAAATAATGAGAGTAGTCAAAAGAATTTCTTTAACAATACTATAATTCTATCAACTCTGCTTAGATAAAATGGGATAATCATGGAATACGTTGGAGATGAATGAGAAAACAGAAGAAGAACACACTCTGTTTACCGTAGGCCTGGCTCCAAAGAGCACTTTACAAAATGTTAGTGTATGATCCACAGCTGGATTCAGCTATCATTTAACAGTTTTAGAGCAAAGGTCACACACAGCCTGATTTTGTCCAGCCTCCCTTCTCTCCCTTCCAACCCATTCAAGTATGATATTTAGACAGCTATTAAATTTGGGCAACACTAAATAAGAAAAAGCCATACTAGATGCAAACAAATTTAAAAAGCAAAACTGATCAGACTGCTAATAACTAACTTTCATATCCTTCTTACCCTATCTATGAGATTTTACTGTGGAATACAGTGGAAATGCAGCAATTTAAAAAAAAATCTGTGTAAAATACAAGGGAGCAGTAAACACATCAAATTTTCACCACATTCTCTGGCACACAAAATGCTCTTAGTAGAAAGAGTACAGAAACTGAAGACCACAGCAAGAGATAGTGAATAGAAAATTCAGAAAATAGAAAAACCAATGTGTGTTTCACAGGAGCCAAAGACAGTTTGTAAAAGGAGCGTCCGATGAGGAAGAAAGTATCTAATTGTCTTCTTGTTGGTCTTCCTAGAATTTCCTTTTTTTTTCTTTCTCATAGACCTAACTTTTGAAATTACCATAACGTTAGTTATCTTGTACATATTTCTTCTCCATAGCATTTGAATCCTCTTATGCTAATTTGAAAACTACATGTGTATTTAACTTTGCTTTAGTAGTTTGATTATTAATACTCAAAAAAACCCTAGCAAAATCAATGTTATCAAATATAAAATTAAACACTGAAAATAAATAGCATTTTTCTTTTCAAGACTGGAAATTTATGTCTGGTTCCTTCTCACATACATACGTAGTGACAGAATTCTTCGAAAGTTTTAGTTTACTCTTAGTTGAACCTATAGGTAAAAGATTAGAATGGGGTGAGCCCAGTTGTTAGGCTGCTCAGGATTTTTGACTGCATTTATTTCTGCAGAAGTCTAATTCTAAACTAGAACTATGTTCCCAAGATTCCACTCAACTGGCTCAGTGGCTTATTGGGTCCATGTTCATTGTATTCACCCAACATTTGTGCGTATTAACTGAAGCAACCTTTGCAAGGTGTTTACTTGTTTGTTGATTTGTTTAGAGGTTGGAATGCCAAGTTCAAAACAGTGCAAATAACTTATATAACATTTGCAAGACAGAAATTAATATCATCTTCTATAAATTTTCTTTCTTTAGAGTACAAAGATTGGAACTAAGACAGATCAAGAAAGACAAGCAAATATTGAGGATATTCTGGGCTTTGGTCATTGCTGGAGATGGAAAGTTTTTAGTAAATGGAAACAGTTCTAAAATTAAGGCATATATTATGCTTATCCAGTGTCTGTGCAGAGAGTTCTATAACTCCGTGGCTCAATTCACATTTCCAGTACTTTCAAATTCTTGATTTCTCTTTCTTGATATAAAAAAATTAAATTCTATACAAATTACCGGATTCATTCTTAAAACAGAAAGAATAATTGTGAAATGAAGTTTCAGGATGATCCCAGGTCACTACTCCTTGGAATGCACTTTCACTAGTACAATTGATATTCTGAGGCTCTCCTGGAACTGTTAAAAGAATAAGAATATGTAATATGAAAAATAAGACATGAAGAAAACATTCTTCATATTATAAACATGCATTATTAACAGTTATATTTGGTTAATTATAAATAAATAATGAAATTTACATAAAGACAACTAGGCTTCTTTAATTTTCTTGGCAGTAAATTACTTTAACAAAGTAAATGTCACACCAAATTACCAGTGTGGAATCCAAGCATTCCACTGACTTGAAGATATCTTAGAATCTCCTCTTCCTCTCATATATACTATTGTCCAGAAATCTTGGGATTTCTAGATTTCACTGTGCTGAAAAACTGAAATTTTTAACACTGTTAAATTTAGTAGTCATTATTTGAGTAGTACTTGTCGTTGCTTCCAGTAACTAGTCATTAGAACCTGAGAAAAATGTAATAAATGTTTAAGTAAAATGTATGAGGTAGAATTTACATTAAAATGTACCCATTTTAAACATAGCTAGATGAGTTTTCACAAGTGTGTGCTTTCATATAACCACCACCACAATCAAGATATAGAAAATTTCTATTCCAGAAAGTTCTTTTGTGCCTCTACCCAGTCAATTCACCTCCTCTACCCAACCCCACATACCTTCTGATCTAGTTGCTGCTACTATAGATTAAATCTGTTCTTTCATTCATTGCATATTGAATACTAATACAATTAAACAAGTTGAGTACTTATAACATCTAGTATATTGCACTCAACATGACATTCTGAAGATTCATTCGCATTGATCCTCATGTCAATACTTACTTTTTAAAAATACATTAGTAGTTATTGGAAATATACCACATTTTATCTATGATTCAACAGTTAATGGACATTTGGCTAGTTTCAAGGTTTTGGGTTACTATGAATAAATCTGCTTGTCTTCATATGGACATTTTATTTCCTCTTTGGTATATACCTAAACTGAAATTGCTGAGTCATTGCTTCACATCCGTACCAATAGTTGGTATCATTAAGTCTTTTAAAAGTTTAGCCATTTTAATAGATGTGTAATATCATCTCAGTGTTGTTTTAATTTTCATTTCTCAAATGACTAATGAGGTTGAGCATCGTTTTATGTGCTTATAGGCTATTTGTATATCTTATTGTGTAAAGTATATATTATAAATGTTTGCTTACTTTTAATTGAGTTATTAGATGCCTTTTGTTTTGTTTTTTGTTTGTTTGCTTGTTTGTTTTGAGTTGGAGTCTCACTCTGTCACCCAGACTGGAGTGCAGTGGCACACTCCCGGTTACTGCTGGGCTCTGGCGATCCTTCTACCTCAGTCTTCCAAGTAGCTGGAACTACAGACATGCGCTACCACACCCAGTTAGTTTTTTGACTTATTGTAGAGACAAGGTCTCGTCAAGTTGCCTGGGTGGGTCTCAAACTCGTGGACTCAGGCAATCCAATCACCTCAGCCTCCCAAAGTGCTGGGATTACAGGCTGAGCCACCGATCCTGGCCAGATACCTTATTTTTTTTAGCTGAAACAGCTCTCTATATATTCAGGAAAAACTTCCTTTGTTGAAAAGGTTAATTGTGATATATTTTTGCAATCCATAACATTTTTTAATTTACTTAATGGCTTCACTCAAAGAGCAGGAATGTTCAATGTTGATGAAGTCCAATTTATCAAACACATTTTTATAATTCTTGTTTCTTGTACCCTAAGAAATCTTTGCTAAAGGCAAATGGATATTCTACTATCTTTTTACTTAGACACTTTTTATGATTTTAGCTTTAGTGTTTACATCTAGAATCCACTTGGAGTTAATTTTTGTGTTTGTTGAGAGGTAAAGGCTGATATCCATCTTTTTCTATAGGAATACAGGAATCATTTGTTTAAAAGACTATTTTTCCCCACTGAAATACCTTGTGCTTTTATCAAATATAAAAAAAAGTCTTCTAGAATTCTTATCTTTTTATACAGATTTATAAAGACTGTAAGGTTTTTACTACTTATGCAAAATATTAAATTTTTCAAGATATACTGAAATTTATAATTTTTATGTAATTTTATTTGCTCTTCTTATAGCTTTATATTGTTTGGGGGGATTATGGGGAAACATGGATTTAGACAATCCCTTTAGTCCCCAGCTATCTTTTTTATATAAAATTAAGAATCACTTGAATATGTTGTGTCAAAAATCCTACACTAGTATAATTAATAAACAAGTTCAGTAATGTGGCATATTGCAAGATCAATACAGAAAAATCCATTGTATTTCTATACACTAGTAATAAACAATCTGAAAATGGAGTTAAGAAAACAACACCATATAAGCAGGGATAAAATTAAATGAAAAATAAATTTAACAAAACAAAATAAGACTTGCACACCGAAAACCACAAAGCACTTTGAAAATAGATTAAAGAAGACCTAAATTAATGAAAAAATACTTCATGTTCATGAACTGGAAGACTATCATTGTTAAGACGGTGGTACTCCTCAAACTGATTTACACATTCAGTACATTCCCTTTAAGAAGCCCAGGTGGCTTCTTGTAGAAACAGATGAGTTGATTCTAAAATTCATATTGAATTTCAAGGGCCCTTATATATTCTAAAAAATTTTGAAGAGAAATAACAAATTTGAAGGACTCACACTTTCCAACTTCAAAACTTACTACAAAGTGACAGTAATCAACAGTGTGCCACTAGTGTAAAAATAAACATGTAAATCAACAAAATAGAACTGAAAATCCAGAAATAAACCCATTATTATGGTCAACTAATTTTTTTACAAGAATGGCAAGACCACAAAGGGAAAAAAATAGTGTTTCAGCAAATGGTGCTAAGAAAATTGGATAGTCATGTGCAAAATAATAAAATCAAACCACTACCTCACACCATGTAGAAATATTAACTCAAAGTGGATAAAGCTAAATTTAAGAGCTAAAGTTATAAAATTCTTAGAAGAAAACTATGGATAAATTTGCACGATAACACATTTGGCAATGATTTTTATATATGACACCAAAAGCATTAGCAGCAAAAGTAAAGACTAGATTAAATGAACTTCATCAAAATGTAAAATTTACGTGCTTCAAAAAAGTAAATTTACGTGATCAAAAAAGTAAAATGACAATTCATAGAATGGGAGGAAATATTTGCAAACCATATAACTGACAAAGGATCTGTGCCTAGAATATATAAAGTATTCTTACAACTCAATAAAATATCCAATTAAAAATGGACCGGCCATGGGGCAGGCAGGCAAAAAGAACACACACACAAAAAAATGGACCAAGGATTTGAATAGATAAAAGACATGCAAAATAGTCAATAAACACATACTCAATATTAATAGTCATTAAGAAATGCAAATGCAAATGACAATAAGACACCACTTTTCATCTAGTAGGAAGGCTAAAATAAAAAAAATAATAACAAGTGGAGATAGAGATGTAAAGAAACTGGGACCCTTAAACATTGCTGGTAAAAATGTATAATAATACATTCACTTTGAAAAACAGATAGGCAGTTTTTCAAAATGAGAACATAAAGTTGCCATATGTCTCAAAATTCAAATCCTAGATATATACCCCAAAGAAATGAAAACGTATGTGTATACAAAATCTTGTGCATGAATGCTCATAACAGCATTATTCATAATAGCCAAAACATGAAAACAAACTAAATGTCACTCAACTGATGCGAGGACAGACAAAATAAGATATATTCATGCAGTAAAATATTATTCAGCAAAAAAAAAAAAAAAAAAAAGAATAGACATATATTACAACATAGATACATCTTGAAAACAGTATGCTAAGTGACGGAATGAATCCAATAATAAAATATCACATATGATATGATTCTATTTATATGAAATATCCAGAATGCAAATCCATTCAGACAGAAACCATATTGGTGGCTGCCAGTATGGATGGAAGACTGGGAGTAAGCGGGGAGTGACTGCTAGCAAACACAGAGTTTCTTTTTGCTGTGATGAAATATTTGAAAATAAATTCTGGTGATGATTACAGAACTCTAAAAATATTAAAGATCATTGAACTGTACACCTTAAATAGTGAATCATGTGATATGTGATTTAACAATAAGATATAAAACTAAAAGAATGTGAACTATTTTGCTGTTATCTTACAAAAATCCCTCTTTTTTTCTTGAGTGAAATAATGTGTAAAATGATTAAGCTGCTGCTTTCTAAGGCTGGAGGATTCATGGTATTACTGAGATAAATTTTATCAATAATGTTATATTATTTTAATCCAGTTGCTAATATTTCATTTTCTATTTAGTTCCTATGTTCATAGAGGAGACGCGGATATAATTGCCTCAGCTTTGATCAACTTTGGTATCCACAGTATGTTAACCCTAAGCCTATTTTGTACCCTAGTCATAATCAAAATGAGTTGATATGTTCCATGTTCTCTGTATTGTGGAATAGTTTGGATAAGATAAGAATTTTCTTTTCTGTGAATATCTAGCCAACATCTGTAAACTACATTTTCTTCATTATGTTTTAAGAGCAGGTAAAGTAAGCAAACAGTATATGTGGGTGGGTGGAGAGATATGTAAGAATAATTTTAATTCCAAATTTCTAATTCTTCCTGGGTAAATATTCACAATGCATAATGTCTAGAAAATTATACGTTATCTAACTTGGAAGTAATGTTGTTTTATAATTTTGGAATTTCTACTATATTTTTAGATCCTATTTATAATGTAATTCATAAAGATGTTTTGCTATAGAGATGTTTTGTTACTGCTATTATTATTTTTAAAAATCAGTCTTTTGATTTGTTAATAAATTCTTATTAATTCTGTTTGTCCCTTCTTTCAATAATGCATACTCTGTTATATTCGTCCTTCTATTATCTTTGCATTTGTTTCTAAGCACTTTCCGATGGTTTTCATTCAGTATATAGCAAAGTGATGGAAATTTCCTCTAAAATCACTTTATCGTCTTTAAGGCTACAAAATTCTCCTGAAGCATGTCTTTGCTCAATTCTGAGTATCTGTCCAACCCATTTGTATGCATTGTGACTTTTTATATATTGTGACATATTTCTCTTATCTTAACTATTATTTTTTGCTTAATACTCCCCACCTTCTTTCTTCCTCCTTCTCACTTTCTTTTCCTCTTCCCTCTTTTCTCCGTTTTCCTACTGCAATATGTAGAATTTCTTATTCCATAATTTTCTTCTACCGCTTATAAACAACACCATCTATTTCTCTTTTTTTGTCAGTAGTCATTCACAATTTTCCTCCCTATAATAACTTATTTTTCTAGCAAATTCCAAATTTGATTGGAACCTCTATACTCTTAAGTAAGACTGGAATTATAGAACTTTTTCACTTTCTTCTCTCTTCCTACTTCCCACATGCTTCCAAATTTTCCAGAATTTTATTTTACAATTGTCATTAATTATTGTTATCTTGATATTATATATTGCTAGCAATTTAGTAATAACAATTACTATTTTGCCCTCAATACTTAGATTTGCCACTGAGCTTTATTAGTTTCTTTGCTCACTTTACTTCCATCAGAGGCAGGATCTGATAGAGGGGCAGACAGTATAAGAGTGCACCAAGAAAAGAAGGATGTTTACAGTAAGAAAGGGGAAATGAAGGAACAAAACATTTTATTTATTAGCTTTAGTTCCAACATGACCTCAATAAAAGCCTACAATATGGAAAAAAATTGGTCCTGGAATTATTTATTTTTAAAGTTCAACTTAAAAAATAAGTAGAAATTTGTTTTCTGAAATTCTTTCTCTAAATTTTTACCATCACTTCCTGTGATTCTCAAAGAATTATAAGCACATAAAAGGGAAAGCAATTTTACATATACATATAAGTAGCATACTCACTCCCCAAATCTGTTTCAATAGTTTTGTTCTCCTTAATATACTCATGCTGATTATAGCGTACTTCTGCAACACAAATATAATTATGTTTGGGTTCAAGGTCTTTTACTTCAATTTTAGTCTTATTAGATGTTGTAGTATCTGAAAAAAAAAGTACTGTAAATGAGTATATTAATACAATATTTCACACATACAATTTTTGAATATATTTATAATGTTCTACTTATTATTCTTTAGATTGAAAAATTATTGAAATTGTAAAAAAATTAAGTCAAAGATCTTGATTTTGTTCCACTCAACTTCTATGAAAATACAGGTTGAATATACCTTATCCAAAATACTCGACACCAGAAGTATTTAGGATTTCAGATTTTTTTCTGACTTTGGAATATTTGCATATGCCTGATGAGATATCTTAGGGATAGGACACAAGTCCAAGCACAAAATTCATTTATGCTTCATACACACCTTGTATACATAATAACCCAAGGTAATTTATTTTTCTCTTGGAAACTCTGAATAAACTTTTTGTTGGGTGCCTGCCTTTTCACTGTAGCCCGTCCCATGAGGTCAGGTGTGGAATTTTCCACTTGTGCATCATGTCAATGCTCAAAAAGTTATAGATTTTACAGCGTTTCAGATTTTGGATTTTCATATTAATCATGTTCAACTTAATTTGAGAGTATCCCTAATTTAGCTGATCAAATGAGGCATTAATTTATTATTTTCTGTTCAGAAACTGAGATTGCTCCTCAGCCTTTGTCTAATAGGTTTTCTAAATAGATTCTTTTTAAATCATCAGTCTGTCATAATGTTTGCTCTTGCTTACCTCATTCTGCTTGCAACATAGTCATGCATCTATGCTATGGTGATTTTTCCCAGTGCCATGCTCCATCCTGTGCATGCTTGCACCCATCAACCTGTGTGTTTGTCATGCCAACTATGGCCTGGCAGATGGTATTATGTCAAGGGGTGAGAGATTTTATTTCATTAAAAATAATACACTCAAAAAATGCTATCTCAATTATTGGTTTCCTCAATATGAAACCAAATTTACTCCTAGAAGTACTTGTTATTCTTTTTCTTCTTTTTTGTTAAGTGTTCTTGAACTTGTGTATGAATTTTGTTGGTGGAGGACATAGTAAACTCTTAAATTATGTAGTCTCGTATTTGTTTTCCTTTCTTTCTAACAAAGTATGTGTATCATTACTTGTTATAACATCTTTCTCTCATGATGTCTTCACAATGCCTGTAAATTTATTTTCCAGGGGAGTATTTATCCATTTTGTGAATTTTTTTGAGTGGTATATACATTATAATTATTTGACTCCAAACATACCACAGGGGGAAAAAAAGATAAGAAAGAAAGAGAGAGACTGAGGGAAAGTGAGAGAGAAAATTAAACAATACCTAGAACAATTTTCTACCACAAAAAAGTTTTCTGATCAATGTTATATTCTTACCACATTCAAATCTGTATGTAATTTTATTTGGGTCACACTCAAAGGGTTGATGAGTTTTCCATTGTAAACAGATAGTAGTATTTGCTTGTTCTTTTGTTGTGCAGTTGTCTAATTCAAATTTATTATGCTCTGCAAGAAGATACAGAAAAACCTTATTAATATATCATAATGTGTATCATAATAAACTATACGAATGACATCGAATTTGGCAAGCACTGAGATAACTTTTGAAAAACTTTTGAAAAAGAATTATTGAGACCTAATAATTCTCAGGGTTTGTTTTTTTATTATTTAGTATTTTTAACATATAATATATTTTAACCATATATTTTATAGTGTTCATTTAGAATTTATGCCACCTTAAAAAATTAAATTCTAGCAAACATATAGATAAAATAGCGGTTTTATGACCATTTTTAAAACACTTATTCCATTTTGTATTTTTGTTTTTTTATTTATCTTAATTAAATAATTATTATACAGATTATTGAGGGTTTACCTCTTGGGAAATACATTTTTAAATATTGTCATTTCCTGTGTTCAACTGATTATTTGTTTCAGTAAATTAAATAAATATTTTTTCAGAGCACATCAGATTTTAACATTAAATGCTACAAAATGTTCAATAATCTTGGATTATTAAATGATGTGAGATAGTCTTTAAAATTGCAGAGCTACTGAGTTTCTTTTACAAAATGCATTTGGCTAAGAGATGCTTCCCTGGAGTTTGTTTGACACCTGTCACCCCTTATATTTCCAAGCTGCAGCTTAATTGTCAAAACCAGCTTGATCTCCTTAACCCGACTATAAACCTCCTTTTTTTGTGAAAGTATTTTGGTTTTTCCCATAAACATCAAAACGTTAGCTTAATTGTTTCTCCAAAATATTCCAGACAAATTTGCATTTAAAAGAATAAAGTACAGGAGAAAGAAGAATGCCCGCGGACAATCACTTAGCAGGATACTTTATATATAATTTACAGGAACATTTTAGCAAAAGATTAGGCAGAGTGCCTAGTGGATGTGAACAGAAAGCTTATATTACTTTATAATTTTTACTTGGTTACGAAAGCAGAGAGATCATCCACTTGTGTATGACTGATTTCTTTCCCCTCGTCTCTGTTCTCTCACCAGAGTTCCCGTGACCACTAGAGCCCGTGACACATAAAATTACACTGTTTTTGTAAATTTACAAAAAGAAATGAATTGATATTTACCTGGTGGGACATCTAATGTTAAATTTTTATATGGAGAACCACATGAATCATGAGATATATTAACAGTAATAGGTTTACATTCAGTTAGATTATGTAACTCATTGTTTATGCAAATAGGGTCACATTTCAGTTCATCATCAACTTCTAGTTTTGCCCTCAATGATCGAGTTGTATTGTTATATGAGTACTTCACAGGAATGTATGAGTATTTTCTATCTGAAATAAAAAATAAAACAGTAAGAATTTTTTTTTCAGAAATGTATAATCTGAAGTGGAAAACCCCCTTTTTAAAATTTTTATCTGAAATAAAAAATAAAACAGTAAGAATTACTTTTTTAGAAATGTATAATCTGATGTGGAAAACCCCATTAAATGCAAACAGTTTTCATATATTTTCAAACACATCAAATCACTAACAAAATCTGCTCAGAAATGTGAACGTAGAAGAAACACAGCCGGCGCCTCCATGTCAGTCTTTCATAATTGCCTTTACTTCACTGCTCTATCAAGGACTCCAACCTGTACATTTGTATTTGAGTGAGTATCAGTCTGTCTTCCTCACTGGACTAAATTTCAAGAGAGCAAAGTCCCTTGTATTTTGGGTATTACCACAAATCTAAGTCTATGCAAAATGCCTGTCATTCATAGAAACTCAATAATTGCCTGATGATTTGAGGCATATGTGAATGGTGCATCTGAAAAAATCTTTTCTTCTTGCTTTATAATCTCCCCTTTTTCTAAAATGTAATTATTCATTATCTGTTTCTCCAAATATGTGGAAGATAATTTACTCAGAGACCACAGGCCCTCATCCATGCCTCCATTTATGTAAAATTATTTTTTTGTAATATACCTTCCCAAGTCCCTTTCTTTAGTGTCAACAATTTCCACTGACTGATAAATATATATTTTTAACAAATATTAATTTATTCATTCATTTTTATTCAACAAAAATTACCAGGCCTTTATTACGTTTAGGACATGGTCCCAAACACTAGGAATACAAAGGCAAGTTAGACGTGATCTGCTTTTAGAAATGTATAATCTGATGTGGAAACAGACATGAATTTCAGGAGACAAGCAAACACCTAAAATCAGAGTATGCACAAAGCAATGGGGGAATAAAGAGAGAAACATCTATTCATAGTAAAGGGTTAAGAGAAGATTTCCAGAGAAAGTGACTCAGTTTATATTTTAAAATATGAGCGGCATATAGAATGATAGACGTGAAGGTCAGGGAACGGGGTGTGGAGGGGAGCAGACAAATTCCAAGTGCAGAAGAAGAAGAGCGGAAGTGGAGAGAGAGGCAGAAAGGAGCAGCACGTGGTGAGAAAAATTGAACATAGTTTGGTATTACTTGAGTGGAAAGTGTAAGGAGGCTATGATGCAAGAGGAGAGGTGGATCATAATCAATCGTATTGATTAAAGAAACACATGATGGACAATCATTGCAATAAATGTATGGAGAGTGACTGAAGGCAGTGACTTCAGTGTTAAGAGTTAGAAATGAATGTAAAGATAAGCTCTGACCATGAAGGGCTTACTTTGAGAAGAAAGGAAGAAAATGGGAAAGGGGTGAATACAAGCTGTTCTCAAGCATTTGCTTGGAGTCAGTCTCTGGTAAGACAGAGTGAGAAAAGGGTCGGGGGGGGGGAGAGAGAGAGAGAGAGAGAGAAAGAGAGAGAGAGGGGTGTTTTTGTTTTTCTTCTTCATAAATTTGAAGGTATTGTCCACATTTTATATTTATGTTCACACTGAATCTTGGCCCCATCCTTCCAAACAAACTTGTTATCATTCCGTTTTACAAATGCCTAAAATGAAATTAAATGGTTTCATCAATTTTTTTTTTGAGTCGCGGTCTCACTCTGTTACTCAGGCTGGAGCACATGATCACAGTTCCCCACAGCCTGGAACCCCTGGGCTCCAGCAATCCTCCTGCCTCAGCTTACTGAGTACCTGGGAATACAGGTCCGCACCACCATGCTGTGCTAAATCTTTATTTTTTGGTAGAGACGAGGTCTCGCTATGTTGCCTAGGCTTAGCCAGTAGTTTTTAATCCTGGGTATTCAACACTGGGTCCGAATAGGAAATCAAAGCTTCTTGCCACTAAGGGACATAGGCTCACAAGATTTGGAGCCAGTCGTTGATGAACAATTAGAAACAGTGGATTCAGCTTGCTACTGGGTATTGAAAGCTTGGAATAAAAAAGAAAATAAAGTGCCATTCCAAAGTGATGTATGCTGACTCTAAGTAAGCAAACTTACCACATGATATCTTAGGTGTAGTAGTAGCTGAAATAGAAAAAGAAAAAGAACGCAAATTATTAAAATTTTGTTTTAGAATACTTGCTATGTCATTCTGGAGAAAGGTGATTTACAATGTTTCAACTTCATAAATTCTGAAGTCTATGGAGTTAGATTTAACAGAAAGTGCAAGGTTTGCCTAGGACAATATTTTAATCTCAAAACTTCAAATGCTATAAACTAATGAACTAGTTTCATAAAACATTTTCATGAACTTACGCTATACAACAATTATGATAACAATATCAAGACTTTTTGGTATACATCTGATTGTGGTCTGGTGACATGGCTTAATATTTATTCAGTCAAAAAGATATTAAGGGTCTTAATTCCCTTGATGAATCTCAAAATTTATTTATATCATGATATTCCCATAGAATGAAGTTTATATTTTTAATTGAAAAAATAGATAATAGGCAAGGTCTGCTTTATTCCCTAGTTTAACTTTGGTAAGCTCTTTGTACATCGACTACATCTAAGGTCATAAATTACTCTCTCAATGAATTGAGTAGTATCTTGTGTGAGCATATGTATTTAATGGAGTAGTTGTGGAAGCTAAAAGATCTCTGCTAATCTTGCTTTTGAATTGGGAGAGTTTGGGAGAGAAGGGTGAGCTTGCAGGCTCTGCCCTTGCCCATTGACTCACAGACCTTGCCATTGCTGTGGCTTTTCCCTCCAGGTCTCTTTCATTGACCTCTGTGTTCCCTCACAACTTGACTGAAACTGGGCTATCAGTCCTCTGCTACTCAGGCTTGCACTGGGAAGACCCTTGGATGCAAGTGTTCTTTTCCATACTAATACTCTTAAAAAAAGAAGTTCTAGTGGATGCGGTCATTTCTAGTACATGTTTTCAACAGTACACAACTGTTGGGGGATGCCACTGCAACAATATGACGGGTTATGACAGCAACATTATAGCCTGATCTCAACAGATGTGGCACTGTTGAAATTTGAACATGTAAGGAGCCCAAGGGAGGGCAGGTGGTGTGCCCTAGTGTTTGCACATCTCCCAGAACATAGGGGTGGTATGGTTGCATGACTGAAGGTAAGGTTGTCACCTATTGTTATGGTTGAAGAAACAGTGCTTTGTTCAGGGCTCAAAGTGGCTGGTGTGATGTGAGAATCTGCAAGGAAATGAACAAAAAATAAAAGTTAATGAGTTTGTCATACTAAAGGACGTGGGAAAACTCTAGCAAAGGTAATTCTCTAAGCCAATCTTTGCTCTAGGAGTCCTTGTTTAATTTTACACTGACTTGTTTTTGTTTTCTGTTTTTTGTCTGTTTGTTTGTTTTGAGTTGGTGTCTCACTCGGTCATCCAGCCTGGAGCACAGTGGCACACTCACGGCCACTGCAGCCTTGAACTGCTGTGCTCAAGCGATCCTTCTGCTTCAACCTTCCAAGTAGCTGGAACTACAGGTGTGTACTACCATGCCCAGCTAATTTTTTGATTTATTGTAGAGACAAGGTCTCGCCAAGTTGCCCAGGCTGGTCTTGAACCCCCGAGTTCAGGTAATCCTCTCTCCTCAGCCTCCCAAAGTGCTGATATTACAGGTTTCAGTCACCGTGCCTTCACTTGCTTGTTTTTAAAATAATATAGTAAATTAAAGATTCATCTACAAATGGCTCTTGCAGATATTAATATTTCAGGTGATTTAAACTAACATTGTATAAGTTGAGGGGAAACTAGTCACTCCTTGGTATTATTCTTACCTGATGTGTGATTCTTCCACAAACTATTTCGTTCTCTTTCAATTACAACCCTCCTTATTTTGGATAGCAATTAGGATAACAGTTACTATTTTGTAATATTTATTGAATACCAGACTTTTTTACATATTCAATCCTCACATCAACCCTCCGAAATGAATATTATTATATCCATTTTACAGAAAAAAAATCTGATACTCAGAAAGTATTAGTAATTTATCCTATAATCCACTAGAAAGTCGAAGAAGTTGACTTTGATCTGAGGACTATACAACATTAAAGTCTATTATCTACTCTTCTTTGCCATGAACTTTTATAATATTAGTAATAACATAAAACATGCCCAGAAAAACCTTACTGGCAAGTTTCTTTTGCCCAATTTTATATCAATATGTGAAAACTGGCAAAACAGGAAACCTGCAAATAATATTTGGCATGAAATTAAAAAGCTGAATTAAAGTTTGATTTCATTATCGGTAGTCGAAGACACCTAGGGCAGCACAGTCAAACCTGAGGAGCTGGTGTTGGTGGTGGTGTTGGAGGTGCGTGCAGGTGAGGCCAAAGAGCTGGTGCGTGCAGGGCTGAGGGTAGCTGCTAACGTGAACACTGTTGTGTTTGCAGGAAAGGAGCTGGTTGGAATCCTCTCTCCTGGGACATCTGCAATCAGAAGGGCCATCAGCACTGTCACTCACTCCTGCCGTGCAAAGGCAATGGCCAGACAACCAATGTATGCATGATGACTGAGAAAAAGACAACCAAGCACTTCTGCAATGCCACAATATATGCGCTCTACACATCGTGCCCCAAATTCCATGGCTGTGGAAAAGATGAGTGTAGAGACAACTGAAAACCTATGCAGCTTCACAATCAGAGCACAACTTTAAAAAATAGTTGAGGCCTCAGGAAATAGGTTGGACAGTCTAAGGAGGCCAGGCCTCCTGGTTGAGGACTGCCGTGGGCGATATTAAAAATGCATCAAAGCAGTAGAGCGGGGTCTATCTTGGTTGTGCTGAGACCCTGTAGAGGGAAGTGAACCCCGAGTAGAAGAGACTGCCTTAAAGAGGAAGTGCAACCTGGTTTGTGCTGAGAGCCCTGCACACAGCATGCACCTCTCTGGGGAAGGATCTCTAGGTGCAGGTGCTCGGTTTTAATTTTCTTAAAATAGAGCTGAATAGGATCCTGCCTGTGCAGCAGCTGAGCTCAGAGTTTTTTCTTTTTTCTTTTTCTTTTTTCATTTCTAGTTGAAGCTTGCAATTCTACTTTCACTGTGTAGGATTCCTTGCCAGGAAAATCAAATTGGTTTGAAACCAACAAACTCCACACTATACTGACATCAATCTCTTATATTCCAATCACATATGGGCTAATTGGTATAGAATCTAGTCTTGTAGGTGAAGAAACTGAACATTGTACTAGGTTAGAACTTTTCATTGTCAGGCTTCAAAGCACCTAATGCATTTTACATCTTTCCCCAGACATCACATTCAGAATTGCAGCACAGGCAATCAATGTATATCCATTGGGTGCCTACTAGATGGCTAGCACTATACTAGTTGCCATGGAAAAAGCAAAAGAAATATGAGTTATCCTCTATTCAAGAGCATGTTTGGTTACTTCACTGTCAAGATCTCTGAGCTCATCAGTTCAAACACATGCAATTAGTTGTACATCTGCAGCCAGATTCCATGTTTCCGTGGTGACACAGCCATGCACATTCTGAACATGGCTTTGATGTGGGCATGCAGGCACCTGCCAATTACAAATGGACTGTAATCTATAATTTCACACATACGTTTTAATAGACTTGGAAATGTATCTTCCAAAAAATTGAATGTAGGTTCCAAGCTCAGTCTTCAAAAGTCACTCAACCACAAGATTTAACTAAACCATCGAATAGAAAGAGTCACATAAACAGTAAGTCTTCAGTTCTGGATCCCCAGAGGACTCCAGAACAAGGAAGAAGAATAGGAAAATGTATTTATTTATCCTTTAAATTTCAGCTGACCCTCTGTAGAGTAGTAAAAGCTGCCAGGTTTGTCTTTAGCCTTCTTTCACCTTCTTTTCAACTCCCCTCTCACTAGTGTCTTCTCTTCTCTCCTCCCAACCAGCCCTTGTCCCCATATATTCGAAGACCTCCAGTCTCTTCCTCCCCAAATTCCCCATTTTCCTTTCTTACATGAAAACTACTTTTCCCTTGCTATGCAGGCAATCTCAGTGATGGTTTAGGAGTGGCATTTGCAATTTTACTTTTTTGTTTTTTGAGTCATGGTCTCACTCTCTCACCCAGGCTGGAGTGCAATGAGTGGCATGATCACGGCTCAGAGCAACCTCGGGCAATCCTTCCGCCTCAGCCTCCTGTGCCTGAGTAGCTAGGGCTACATTTTCGATATTTTTTGTAGAGACGAGATCTCACTAGGTTGCCTAGGCTGGTCTCAAATTCCTGGGCTCAAGCCATTCTCTCATCTCAGTCTCCCAAGGTGCTGGGATTATAGGTGTGAGCCACTGCACCCAATCACAATTTTAATTATGTTGAATCATCCGAATAGATTTGTAATTAGTGAAATTAGCTACTGTGAAAGTAGCAGACTGGTTTGTGTGACAACCAACTCCCAGGGGTCAGTCTTTTTTCCTTATTTTATTGCTTCTGCTCTCCCTAACTTCTGAATCCGTGGATTTGTTAAAAGCTCTGCATCTTTTTTTGCTATGACTCCCATAGCAGCTCCAGTAGATGGAACAAGACAGGAGGTGAGGAGAACTGTTCTACCAGTTGTTTAAAGTGTGTGGATTGCCTGGAATGATTTTTATTCCAAGGGTACTGTTTTAATACATCAAAATAATAATTATTCTATTTGATGTGTTTGAAGCAAGACCATTTTCTGGCCAACTGCATAGGTCAACCATTTATATCTTTAACTTTCAAGCACTCAGGGCACTAAATTTATACATGTGACTCTATGGATTTGTGACTTGAGAAAGAACATACATACTTGCTTTTCTTGCACACAAAAAAAATTGGCACCACGAAGTGATTTAGACACTGTTTTTGGAAAGAAAAGGGAGGGACTCTTTTTGCACTGTTGCTGCGAATAAAGAGATGTTAATCTAAAATAACCTTGATGCTTATTAATACCAAAAATAAGCTTTCAATGCACAATGATCATTGTCCAAAATATAAAGAAGTATACAGATTATCCTGAATAACTCTTTCCTCATGAGCAGGTTTTTGCTGTTTTCTCACACTTCTTCTTATTAATTCATCTACATTTAAAGGACTTTTGTTCAGTGGTAACAAAGGTACATTTTGTTCCTAAGGGTGACTATGAAATTCTAAATTCATCAACTAGTAAGTGCTACACGTTGAACAAGTGGTGGGATTGCCTCACACCATTCTTAAATACAGGCAGTTGTCATGTATTCTTCATAGTTGCACAAGTCTAAAGACCCGCAAACCTGAGGTGTCATTCCTGCTGGGGGCAGGCATGAGTGTGGGAGTGGCGGCCATGCCGCTGTATGCCTGAGTGTCTGCTTCGCCAGAGGGCATCTGCGAGTCTTTGTGCGTGGAAAAGTCAGGCGTCTGTGTTGACGGAACACCTAAGGTAAGAAAGTGAGATCATTACATCGACCTTCCCCCACTGCAGATGAAAAATTTAAGCACTAAGCAGTTATAAGGAGTAAATTGCTACTATAGTTTACCAAACTGTGAAATCACCCAATCTATTCAAATGTGTCTGCCAGTATTAAAGTTCGCTTGGCAGGAAGATAAGGCCTCCTCTGTTTATGTATCCCTCGGAGGTTCCCTGAACTAAATGCAGCTATGAAGATTGATGTTTCTAGACCTTGTAATCATTATGAGCTTTCTGAATTCTCCATCAACTTTACAAACTGAGAATTGGGACATTTCTGTATAGACAGAGTAAAAAAGGAATTTTCCAATATCCTAGGGTTTCTCACAAATCACAAAGAAGAGATTAAAAAATGAATGAGAGATTTGACAGACATCTATCTAATATATATAGTGGCTAAAGATAAATGAAAATGTTATAAACATTATGAAATTTTTAAAAATATAAATCAACATAAAATATTTTAAGTTATCATTCTGATAGTTATGTCAGAGTTTTAAGAGATCGATAATATCCAGTGTTGGAAAAAGTGTGGAAAACAGTTCCACATGTACGTGCATTCTGTCTCTCTCTCTCTCTCTCATAAAATCATATACCCAGAGCCCAGAAGATATACTATAATGGTTAAAAGGGTATCTTTAAGAAACAGGATTTGAGGAGATGATATTTTCATTGTGTGTCTGTGAAGCATATGTAAAGTAAATGCATATACATACACACATCTATACATACACACACACACACACACACACACACACACACATATTTAAAGTGTCAAAAAATGTATACACATTTTGAGTATGACATTCTCCCAAAAGATGGCATTAATCAAATGAATGCTAGCATCACCACGTGACAGGCAGGACAGTCAAAGAAAATGGTGGAAGCATAGTTGAGCGAAGGTCATGCTTCATATTGCTATCATAATTTAATTGGAGGACAAACCTCATCAACCAGGGTACCTGCATAATGAACATTTACATACCTAACCCTGAATTGTATCCTACATCTTTACAATAAAATAACAATAATAATACATTGATAACATCTCTTTAAAGAGTGTATACATGTTTTTGGCACCCCCATATATATGCACACTTGCTTCAATAGCAATAATGTTTTGCAACATTCATAAACTATTAAAAAATAATAATATTGCACAATTAAATGTAGTGTTATGCATATGGATGCTTATTTAATCATTTAAAAGAACAATTTTGGATGATATAATATTGTCAGAAAAGTGAGTGGATTAAGGAATTTTTTCCTCTAATTATATTAGCAAGCAAAAACAAAATGTGATTACATTCCACAATACAAATCATAAGCACAAACTAAATAATACATATAGACTTTATTCCAGTTGATAGCTGAAATATCACTTGATATAAAAACTATGTTCCAGAAAAGTGAGCAGGAACTGGGAGGATGATGTAGAGTGTGGCGATCAGAGGATATTGGCACAATTTTCCCTCCTGGTTTTACCTAGGAAGTCTTTCCTCCCTCTCTTTTTCTCTCTCTCTTCCTTAATAACATAAATGCATTGTTTTAGCCAATGAGTATTTCATAGGCACTTAATATTCCCTACACTTTATGCACTTGAATAAAATTACATACTTAGAAACTATACACATAATGCAGCTAACTGTTCTGATACTTTAGAACTAAAGTTTGTCCTAATATTACTGAAATTAACAGTTTTTGTTTGCCAACCTGTCATAGCAAGAGCACTAGCATTATCCAAGGAGTCCAGGGATACTGGGGTTGAAGTATTGCCTGGACTAAAGAGAGGCGTGGTCTCTGAGGAGTCATTTTCTCTTTCAGAGATGCTTGCGAGTGAGAATGCAGTGGTGCGAGCAGGTGAAGGGTCACTTGGAAGCAGAACATTAGACTCCTTTATTGTAGTAGATCCTGTTATATTAATGGGAAATGGAAGAAAGAGAAAGCAAATATGTGAATCAAGTAAGTAACTCCCCAGTCCATTATAGTGTTTGTGTGTACACACACACACACACACACAAACACACACATACAAACACACCATACATACATGATATATTGTGTGTGTATATATATGTGTGTGTATATATATATACATGTGTGTGTGTGTATATATATATATATATATATATATGCATGTGTGGAATATGTATGCATTTTTAAGTGTATATACACATCTACACACACATATGAGGGGAGGTTCCAAAAATGAATTTATTTATTTAAAAATGTGTATTTATTCCTACATGTTTAAATTTCAGTCACCTTCAAAGTACTCTTCATTTGATGCAACACACCTATTGAGACGTTTTTCCCACTGCTCAAAGTAGTTTTTGAACTGTCAGTTTGGATGTCTTTTGGTGCCTCTATCATTTTTTGTTTGTCGCCCATTTCCACATGGGCGAAACATTTCCCTTTGAGAACTTTTTTTCAGTGGGGAAAACAAAGTCTCTTGAGGGGAGTTGGGTGAATAGGGAGGGTAGAGCATGGAAGTCATGGCATTTTTTGTCAAAAATGTCTGAACACAGCACAATGTGGACAGATGTACTCATAAATCACTCATCATGAAATGGACAAGCATACTGAAAGAATCTCAAAAAAAAAAAAAAGATTAAAGCAGAACGCAGACTCTCACAACAACACTGCTGGTACAACAATGACAATGGGTTCCTAGAACACTTACCTAGTGGAGGAAGCCTGTAATACAAGGGGCTTGCCTACTAGAAAAAAAATTTTTTAGTCCCCTCATCTATATATAAATATAGATGCACATAGAGATAAATATAATATATAGATATAAAACAAGTTACGGCTCAGTAGCTAAAGATACAAATGGGAAAGAAAAGTTGAAAACAACTATCCCCTGCCCTCTTCCCATTCAATTCCAGGCTTCTTAACTATTTAAATAAGTGGATTCAGAAGAATGAAGTACAATGGGTACAGATTATTAAAGAAAATTTGACTTTCTGTTGAAGAAAAAGATAGGGAAAGAAAAAATTAGACGAAGATTAGTAAGAGGGCTAGGGCTCCACGAGAAAAAAAAAGACAAAAGTTCTAGATACACATGTACTTTTTCCATAAGGATGGGAATAACACACTGGGTACTGATAAAGAGGGAGGGAAGAAAGGAGGGGGAATAAGGGATGCAAAGTCACCTATGGGGTACCATGTTCACCACAAAGGGCTGGAGGGGCGGACTCATCAGAAGCCCAAACCTCACATCACACACTATACCCATGTAACAAATCTTCACATGTGCTCCCTGATTTGAAAATAATAAACATTTTTAAAAATAAAAATAAATTAAATGCAAACAAAGAAAGAAGTACGGGTAAAGGACTGGAAAACCAAGTTTTCAAGCAGGTTTATAAATGACTCAAGCTACAGAAATGTCTTCAAATTTATGATAACAAAAGAAACACAATTTAAGATACTGAAATAACAGTTTTTACAGTTCAAGCATACTTTACAATGAAGAAAAATGTGACAAGGTAGTAATGAAATAGAAACATGCAGGGTTGATAAGAGTATATAATAGCAAAAGCTCTCTACAGGAAAATTAGTGTCATCTATTAAAGGCCTTCAACTCTTTTTGGTGCTCTTTACTGAAAAAGCATTATAAAAAGAATAGGAAAATACATCAAATTAAAAAAACTCATATGATCTTTGGATGTCAGGATTATAGAAATATATATAAATTTTAATATATATTTACTTCTTTGTATTGAAAAAGGTATGTTTTAAAATATTCAATTAATCAAAACTGAGTTACATCACGTAACAAGTATTTTAATTCAGTTCAACAAGATTGGGTAAAAGAGAATGGCACAAATATGGGAAGAGGGAGAGAATGAGAGAAACTACAAAAAAGTTGAAATGGTAAGACGGCAAAAAGTTAAGAACTGAAACTGAGATATTACTAAATAGGAAATGAAGAAAATGGAAATAGAAATGATAAAAATAAATTCTAGCTTTATTCATTAATGTTAAAGGTAAAGTGAAGCTAATTTTTACTAAATACAGATAAAAACCATCTGAATTATATTGAACTGCCTCAATGTCTATGTACCGGAAATACCATATAACTATTCGGTAGTTACAAAAATTCAAAGTGACAGTACAGCTGTTATATGTATTATTTTCTAATGAAAATTCTCAGTCCCTAGAATTTCATAACCAAAACCTCACAAATAAGTCTATCAAACTTCCATTCATAATTACAAGTCAACTAAGTACAGTCATAGGCAAGCAGCTACTGCCAGTCTTCAATGTAAAACCAAAAGTTTAGCTTTAGTGTTTTCACATCAGCTATGCACTGAATGAGAGGAAAATAGGGCAGGAAAAAAGAAAGGAGGAAGAGAAATGGTCCGAAGGAAATGGAAGAAAGAAAGGGAAGGGGGGAAGAAGGAAGGAAGGAGTTTGAAATTCTGTCCATTAACATTAATTCATCATCATCATTACAGACTTGACAATTATCCATTTGTTTTTTTTAGGTTAAACCAACTTTGATGTCTGCAGAGTTACAATGATTTCTTTGCTTTGAGAGAAATCTTGCAACAAATTCCCTTTGTCATTCACTCCCAGTCATTTGTTAGATTTGAATTACAAAGATACTGGAATGAAAGCCATGCTAAATATCCCATGTAATAGTACTATGCTATTTTGAAGAGTGTCAATTCCAAAGATTACTTCTAGCCACACAAATTCAGTCCCACATGTATGAAGAAGGGCGTTCAGAGAACTACACTCCTTAATATCTCTGTACACATCTTACATTCAATGGACAGTGCCTAATTTTACTATGAAGCACTTAAGATTAGAAAACATGCTTCAATTGCCACTTCCATGTTGTCACTGAATCTCCACTTTGAAGATGCTACTGGTTTCCACTGATTACATTCTTGTTGGCAATATTTGGAAGGGACCGTTCTCACTTGCATTTTGGGTCACAATGTTAACTTACCTGGTTTTGTCATTTGGAGGCTTGTTATAAAAGTCAGTGCAGAGATAGTAGAAACTTTCAATAAGGTGATGAGTTATCTACTATTTTAAAGATTCTCTCTCCATTCTACCACATACCCATTCCTTTCCTGCAAAAATAACTCGTTGATATGGTTGAGATGAACTTAATCTTCTGTAGGAGGTGGAGATGCTAAGTTGTGTTTGAGTAGGTGGCATAAACCAATCACAATCTACTATGCAGGAATAACTTTCATTAATTTATAAATCTTCTCTGCCATACTATAAAATTATACAGTTTTTACTACTAGATTTTTTTTTTTTAAATAAGAGACTATGCCTCTGATGCAGATTCAGAGCTGTTTTTGTTACTATTTGTATGGTTTCTGTTTCCACTATTTGGAATGAATTTTTATTTAGTGACAAAAATAATTTGTTTCATAATTCAATTTTCTAAATTTTATTTAGAATTGTACATTATGATTATTAAATCAGAATTTTCTTAGTGGTTTTATTTGTCTTCTTAATGCATACTATCAGCCATATGATTAATTATAAAATACATTTTTCAATAACAACATTTAAGTGATGTGATTTATCTTCAATCACATGCAATTTAACTTTTTTCTTATTTTCCGTGTAACATGTGTGACTTTATTTGTAGCATCTTCATTTTTTAAATTTAATTTATCTCAGGGTAAGACACTAATAGGACTATTAATTGAATTATCTAGTAGAATTTGGAAATTATTATTACAAAATATTTTAATAGTTTCAAGGTTTTGCATACTTTTGAAAAGGCAAACTACTCTTAAATAATTATGTGTGTGTGTGTGATTATCTATGTTTAGATTTCTCTCTAATTTCTCAGATAATTTCTTAACTCATCTTTGAACTATATAATTTTGTAACCTAATTTAAATTTATTTATTTGTAGACAAAATTTTTTGAAGAGGTAAGAAACCTGTCATGTGATTTACTGTCACGTTTAGAAAAATTATTTTATACACAATAATGAATATACACATTTAACATTATGTTCAGGTAATTATCAAACTTTGTATCTTACAAGCAGAAAGCTTAAAAATAAGTTAATATCAATAACTCTTCATGATTATAAAATTTGTCCTTAAAAAACATTTCAGTAAATAATAGTAGAAAATTTTGTCAAGATTAAATGTGTAAACTTTGTAACAAGGAAATAAGTAAAATGCAAATATTAATTCTTACCAGTACTGGAAGGAGTTGTGTCTTGCCCTGAAAAAAAGGAAAAAAATATTTTAGAAAATTTCAAATTTCATATGTATGCATGCAAATCTAAGTTAGATATATATATATATATACGTGTATAAAAATCTCTATATTAGAACATTCAAAAATACCAATTTTAATACCTTTTACCCTAATGAAATTATATTCCTTTTCTTATTATCATGTTTACAAAACCCAAATATGCCAAAACTCTTTATGGTTTTTTTAACCTTTCAGGCAAAATCAGAAACATAATAGACTAAATGATAACTACTAGGAATTTCAAGACTGCAAAAATTCTTGGAAAGACTTTTGAAATATTTTTTCCCAAGTGCATGTATTTACTTAGATAATGATTATTTATTAAACAACTATTGTGTGCCAGACATTATGCCACATGACAGGGTAATAATATGACTTATATATAAAAATTTTCTACCTGTGGTGAACTCACATACAAAAAAAATCCATATAGAGAGATGACAAGTGAGACAGAATGTACATAGGAGGATCGTTTTATTTAGACTTCCAGGGTTGGCAGTTGGTGGTGGAGGAGATGTTAAAGAGGGCTTCTTGGATGCATCTACGCAATGACATAATGGGTTACATATAGCTAGCTTAGTCTTAGAGGAATAAGAAGATGTGTCTTCTGGGCTTTAGATAGTTGTTGGAGAGATGTCTCTAAGGGGAAGTCTAATGTAGAGGCATTTGGATTTTAGGTCAATCTTTTTGTGCAGTGGAAAATGGATTATCAGATGGCAAAGCTGGGGCAGAAAATTCAGTAGACTAAAAGGAAAGCAAATGAGAAAGACTATGTCCTACTCAAGGGGGCTCACGCCCCCCCAAAGAAAGGTGGTGGGAGGAAATTGTCCATGAAACCCTTAAGAGTCATTAAGATTTTGTAAATCTTTGGAGATAAGGATAGAGAGAAAGAGTGATAAGGAAAACATTCAGATTGGTTAGTTTAACATATGAAAGTGATCATCCTCCAGACGGAATTTATTTATAAAAAATTGCATATTTATTCTTACGTGTTTAAACTCCAGTCACCTTCAAAGTACTCTCCCTTTGATGTAATACACCTATCAAGATGCTTTTTCCATTGCTCAAAACAGTTTTGAACTCATCAATTTTGCTGCCTTTTAGTGCTTCTGCTGTTTTTTGTTTTATCCCCAAATGGCAAAGTGTTTCCCTTTGAGTACTTTTTTCATCCAGGAAAACAAACAAACAAACAAATATTATTAGGGTCTAGATCAGGTGAATGAGAGGGTAGGGCACTGGGGTCATGCTGGTTTGGGTCAAAAACTGCTGAACATTCAGCATGGCGTGGGCAAGTGTGCTCCTAAATTACCCATAACGAAATGGGCAAATACGTTGAAACAATCGCCCCCACCAGAAAAATAAATAAATAGATAAATAAATAAATAAAAATTCACTGAAGCCACACACAGCCTCTCACAACAAAGCTAGCTGGTACACTAAGACAATGACTTCCTACAACACTTTCCTAGTGGGAAAAACCCATATTACAAGGGACCCGCCCTCCAAAAAATAATTCCATTTTTTGAGGGGGGTGGCCCCTCCTTGTACTAGTGAATTGTGGTAGGTGGATGTGGAAAACTTCAATGAGCTAAAGAAGAAATAAAAAGTAGTTGGGTTTCTCTTGCTTTGCAAATGCTCGTTAATTTAATGAAGTCCCACTTGTCTATCTTATTTCTTAAGGTATTGGTCTTTAGGATTCTGAATAGGAATTGGTTCCCAGTTCCAATTTCCACAAGGGTGTCTCCTGCGTTTTCTAAGATTCTTATAGTTTGAGGTTTTACGTTTAGATCTTTGATCCATTTAGAGTTAATTTTTGTGTATGGTGATAGGTAGGGGTCCTGTTTCAATCTTCCAAATGTGGTCAGTCAGTTTTCCCGCAACATTTGCTGAATAGGTTTTCCTCTCCCCAGTAGTTGTTGTTGGAGGCTTTATCAAAGATAAGTTGATTGAGGAATTGTGACTTTGCTTCTGTAATCTCTATCCTGTTCCATTGGCCTATGTGCCTGTTATTGTACCAATACCAGGCTGTTTTGATTACTGTAGCCTTACAGTAGTGTTTGAAGTCTGGGAGTATGATACATCCTGCTTTGTTTCTCTTGCTAAGGATTGTCTTGGCTATTCGTGGTCATTTATGTTTCCATGTGAATTTCTGTATTATCATTTCCAGGTCTGAGAAGAATGAAGTTGGTAACTTAACGGGTATTGCATTGAATCTGTAGATTGCTTTTGGTAGGATAGACATCTTAACAATGTTGATTCTTCCTATTCATAAGCATGGAAAATTTTTCCATTTGTTTGTGTCTTTTTTGGATTTCTTTGAGCAGTGTTTTGTAATTCTCATTGTAAATATCTTTCACTTCTCAAAACCCACAAGAAAGCAGAGAGACAGCCCACAGAATGGGAAAAAATATTTGTCAACTGTATATCTGACAAAGCCCTAACATCTAGGATCTACAAGAAACTCAAATGCACTGAAGGGAAAAAAACAAACAGCCCCTTTAAAAAGTGGGCAAAAGACATGAATAGACACTTCTCAAAAGAAGATATATGGGCAGCCAACAGACATATGAAAAAGTGCTCAGCCTTACTCATCATCAGAGAAATGCAAATCAAAACCACATTGAGATACCACCTAACCCCCATAAGAATGGCCATCATTAACAAAACAAACAACAACATATGCTGGTATGGATGTGAAGAAAAAGGAACGCTTCTACACTGCTGGTGAGAATGCAAACTTGTACAACCTCTCTGGAAGACAGTGTGGCGATTTCTGAAAGAACTAAAAATTGACCTTCCATATGACCCAGCAATTCCCCTATTGGGAATATACCCAGAGGAACTCAAATTATTCTACAAAGAAGATACCTGCACATGTTTGCTTGTTGCAACTCTATTCACAATAGCAAAAACATGGAACCAACCATGTTGCCAATCAAAACTGAACTGGCTAAAAAAAAAAGTGGTACATTTACACAATGGGATATTATGCAGTCATAAAGAAGGACAAATATATGGACTTTGCAGCAACCTGGATGAATTTCAAGTTGATCATACTCAGTGACTTATCACAGAAACAAAGAACAGAGTTCCAAATGTTCTCACTTATAAGAGGAACTTGAACAATTATAATGCCAAAAGAAAATGATTGGAAGTAACGGGAAACTGTCAGTTGGTGGGGGGTGGGGGATTGGGGTGGGGAGTGGGATTGGCAGTTGAGGGAAATAGCTAGGGGAGGGAGGGACATACCTCATCAACAGGGGTACCTGCATGATCAATGTTTGTATACCTAAATCTGAATTGTACTCCACATCTTTATAACAAAAATAAAAATAAAAAAAGCAGATGGAGAGAGGAGAATTTGATATGCTTCGGATCCCATGTAAAAATGTTTAATACCATTTTGACATAGAGGTTTGTAGCTTGTGATATACATCTGGCCTAGGCTATAGATCAGTAGATAGATGGATATAATGGTGAAAGAGATCCCCAAGTTACATAAAAGAGAAGTGTCCAAGATAGACTCTGAAGTTCAATGAATACTAAGGGCAGGGTCTGCAAAGGTGACAGAGTTTTCCAAGTAGAAGAGAAACCAAAGCTCACAGGAATGAAGAGTAAAGGGTGTATCCAGAAGGAAATGGTTGAAAACAAATAATATGGAGATTACCATGGGTCGACTGGATTTATCTTTTGGGTTTGTGGAAATGTTAGAAAGAACAGCTTTCTTGGTGTGATGGAAGCTGAAATCCAGTCTACAGTGAAGTGAGATGTTTTAATCCCTCAATTTAGTAAATGACTATTTCAAAGAGTATACAGATCTTTTCCAAATGATAACAAACCAAGACTGTGATAGGAAAATAAAACATCAGATGAAAGAATGTATTGACTGATATTTAAAGTGCCTTTCTGCCTTAAGATTTTATTTTCTTAGAACAAACTAATTTGAAAAAAATGTTTGCCCCTCAGAAATCTCATTAAAGTGGTATAACCTAGTATTCTTCAATGACATACCCTGGCTTAATCCTTGAAGTAAAATGTATTTCTGTTATATATATTTTATATCACTGATGTGTTATATATAATTATTAAAATATGTATTTTTTATTTTCTCATTATATTTATTAATAATTCATACTTAAGTATTATTTTCCATTTACATTGTTTACTTTTTTATCTTTTTTTAAAACACTTTTTTTATTACGTTATTTTATTATGAAGATGTAGGGTATAAGTCAGGATTAGGTACATAAGTAGTTTACTTGTAGATGAAGTTTGTGCCTCCAAATGGTCCTCATTTCCCTTAGTTTAGGGTTAGGTACCCTTAGGGATTTAGGTGACCCCCTTCTCCTCTGGCAGTGTCACTGCTGCTGCTGATCCTCTCTTGTAGTATTGTGATAAATGTTCAGGATTCACTCTGAGTGAGAACACGTGATACTCAGTTCTTTATTTCTGTGACAGATCACTGAGTATGATGGACTCTAAATCCATTCAAGTTACTGCGAAGTTCATAATTTTGTCCTTCTTTTGTCCCTTTTTTTGTTTAGTCAGCTTTTATTTATTTAATATGAACTATTGTTGTTTTTATTTTCTTGTTAGTAGTTTTTCCTCTCTTCATTTGTTCTTATTTCTGTCTAAATTAAGTTCTTAGAATTGTGTTGATTTGCAAAAAAAAGTAATAAGAAAAATAAAATATTCGTATAGCAGTAACTAATAGCTTCTATATTCTAAATGATAGGAAAATATTCTTCATGTTTGTTGTTTGCAAAGAATATAGCATATTACCAAATTAAAATATCAGGCCATTGCTTTGGTAAACTCTGGTATGGCATGTGGCTCTTTGAGCTATGACCAGGCCATGTTTCTTAGCTTTAGCCCCCTCCACCTTGAGGAGGTGAATCTCCTCTCTTTTTCTCTCCCTCTCTCCAATTCACTTTCTAAATTAACTATATTTTCCAAGCTAAAAA